CCTGAGGAGAGCGGGCTGGGGGCAGCGGGCCCGGGGGGCTCCAGGCAGGGGGACCTGCGGTCGGTAGGGCTGGGGGTGTACGTGTCGGGCCTGGCCAAGGCACGTGGTGCTGGTCCTGATGGCGTGGCCCGGAGGCGGTGGGTGGCTTGGCCCCTTCGGCAGAGAGCTGGGCTCGGGCTACCTGCCCCGGGGGTGCCCTGCCCGACCCGGGGGCAAGGGTGTGGGGAGCTCTGTTCTGCCCCAGCCGTGACCACTGCGGCTCCTGACCCACGCTGCGGTCAGTCCCTGTGTCACCTCTCCTTGGCCACCACGGCAGTGCCCACGTGTGTGCTTTCGCTTTCCTTAGGCTTGCCAGCTCCCAGGGCTGCCCTCCTGCCTGGTCCCCTTACCTTGTCCCCTGCCCCAGCCCCTCACCCTGGGGCCAGGGCGGTGTGCCGCTGCCAGGCAAGGACTAAAGGCAGACACAAAGCATCCTCCTTCCAGTGGGGTGGTGGGGGAGAGGGCCTTGCACCGGGGAAACAGGGCAGCAGCGAGACCTTGCAAGGTGCTCGACCACAGGAGGATGGTGGCCCTGATGAGCTGGGTTTGTGTCCCTGGTGCCAGCCCGTGCCACCTCCCGCAGCTCAGCAGGCTCTGCCAAGCACCAGGCCGTCAGGGAGTGTGTCGCTCGCGTGGGTGCTTGTGCTGGAGGGGCTTTTCTGTTTAGGCGAGGTTGCTCGGGAGGCAGGCTGAGCTAAGCCAAAAAGATCCTCTTACTCTGGACAATGGTGGCGCGAGTGCAGCGGGAGCTGTCGTCCACAGGGATGTGCCCTGGCCGGAGGCAGTGGGACAGGGTTGGCCGGAGGACAGGCGAGGCGTGGGGGAGGCTGGGGGCTTTGTGGGGACGCGTCCCCTCTGCTCTCCCCAGGCAATCCTGCCACCTGCTGCCCTTGCATCAGCTCGTGCGCAAGCTGCTGAAACCGGGGGTGGCGGTGGGGTGTCTCCTCTTACGTCTTCTCCTTTGGCCGGGAGCTGCGGCACGGTCCTCGTAATTTCCTCCCCGATCTCCGGTGTCAGCTGCTTTGCTGGGACTTTGTGCAATTCCTTGGCCGCCCCACGCTGCCCCTCACCACCACTCTTCTGCCTCCTGCTCCGCTCCCTCCACCAGCCCTTGCCATCGGTCTGTGGGGTGCTCTGAGTGCCGGCCACTGCAGGCTTCGGGGACTCGTAAGGATTGGGGATGGGGGTCAGGCAGGAGAGAGGGCACAGCACAGAGGTTTGTTGGGGGCAAACACCTCTGCTGGCCCTCGAGGGAGAGCTCTGCGGGGTGCAGAGGACCTGGCTCGGGGGATGCTGCTTGGGGAAGACCCCCTTGGCCGGGGCTTGGGGCTTGGGGCTGGCAGCTGAAGCGGGCCAGAGGGGCTGCCGCGTGTTGCCTTCCTCCAGGGGCCTGTGGACCCCCGTGGGAGGGTGTGAGTGCTGGTGCAGGGTGTGGCGCTGGTTGGGGACCTGCCCCGGACCAGGTGGCAAACAGGCGCCATGGCACCTTGGGTGGAGGAGGCGGTTCTGTCCCCTGCCTGTCCCCTCACAATCCCCAGCTGGCGCTGCCCCGTGCTGCTGTGTTTACCCTGCCTGTGCTGACTCTTCCCCTAGACGTGTCCTGCAGGGGACGGGGACGTCCCAGCCTTTCCCCTGCTCCCCGGGTCGTCCCCAACCACCTGCCTGGTGGCAGGGCGGAGCAGGATGCGTCTGGGGAGGCGGTGCTGGGCAGGGGACGTGGTTTTGGGGAGATGGGTGCCCACGCATAGCTGTGTTTGTGGACCTGTGGGTAAAGGAAGGGACGTCAGTGCTGGGAGAGGGACAGAGCTGGGGTGGCGGCTGGTGGTTTGGGGGGGCCCAGTGAGGTGCACACGGGTTTGCTCAGTGCCTGTTTGCCTGCCCCTTCGCTGCAGGGTTTGAGCCAACTGCCTGGCCAGGATGAGCTGGAGTTTCCTGACGCGGCTCCTGGAGGAGATCAACAACCACTCGACCTTCGTGGGCAAGATCTGGCTGACCGTCCTCATTGTCTTCCGAATCGTGCTGACAGCCGTGGGGGGCGAGTCCATCTACTACGACGAGCAGAGCAAGTTTGTCTGCAACACGCAGCAGCCCGGCTGCGAGAACGTCTGCTACGACGCCTTTGCCCCGCTCTCCCATGTCCGCTTCTGGATCTTCCAGATTATTATGGTGGCCACACCGTCGGTGCTCTACCTGGGCTTTGCCATGCACCGCATCGCCCGCATGCCTGAGTCCTCACGGCGCCGGGCACCGGCAGCCCGGCAGGCACGCATGCCGGTGGTGCGCCGAGGAGCCGGGCGGGACTACGAGGAGGCGGAGGATGATAACGAAGAAGACCCCATGATCTTTGAGGAGATCGAGGTGGAGAAGGAGAAGAGCCCAGAGGGCGGCGAGAAGCATGACGGCCGGCGCCGCATCAAGCAGGACGGGCTGATGCGCGCCTACGTCCTGCACTTGCTGTGCCGCTCGCTGCTGGAGACGGCTTTCCTCTTCGGGCAGTACCTGCTGTACCGCTTCGAGGTGAGCCCCTCCTACGTCTGTAGCCGCAGCCCCTGCCCGCACACCGTCGACTGCTTTGTCTCCCGCCCCACGGAGAAGACTATCTTCCTCCTCGTCATGTACGCCGTCAGCGGGCTCTGCCTCTTCCTCAACCTCTGCGAGCTCCTGCACCTCGGCGTGGGGCGCATCCGGGACGCCCTGAGCCAGCCCGACAGCCCTCCGCTCCCGGCTGGCGGCAGCCCCACGCCGCAGTACCCCAAGAAAGCCCCCGGCGCACCCCCCACCTACCACTCGCTGAAAAAGGAGCCGCCGCGAGCCCCGCTGCCTGACGGCAAGCTGGACTACCGGGAGAGCCTGGCCCAGGCGGCGGGGCGCTTCGCCCTGGCCGGGGCTCCCCCGGCGCACGAGCTGGACCGGCTGCGTGAGCACCTGCGTCTGGCCCAGGAGCACCTGGAGGTGGCCTTCCACCTCCAGCCGCCCCTGCGGCCCCCCAGCCCTGCCCGCAGCAGCAGCCCCGAGGCCAACGGCATCGCCGCCGAGCAGAACCGCCTCAACCTCGCCCACGAGAAGGGGACCGCCGCCTGCGACAGGACCACGGGTGAGCCGGGGAGGGGGATGGATCTGGCCGACTGGGGCGGGGGCGTGGGGGGCTGCCCCGGGCTCCCCTGGGGAGGGGATGTCGTTTCCCCGGGGCGGGTGCTAACCTGCTGCTCGCTCCCCGCAGGGCTGTGAGCGCCACCAGGGACGACGGCGGTGTCTGCCGGAGCGGCTGCCGCCGCCACCGCGGGACGAGCAGCCTGCCAGGAGCGCGGGGTGGAGGGTGCCGCGCGCCTGCCCGGCGGGGCTGGCCAGGCAGCCCTGTCCCGGTGGGCAGCGGCAGGGTTGGGGGCCTTGGGGGACATTCCTACTTCATTTTCAAAAAGGGAATATCTTATTTTTGTACGTTTTTATAAACTCGTCAGCGTGTGCACCCTGGCATTTTTATATTCCGCTCCCAATCTCTGCTCTGGGCCTGCACCCCCCCACCGTCTCCCGTTTCACCCCCTTGTCCTCCTCCCGCACTCATTTCCTGCAGCATCTTCTCCTCACACCTACCCGTGCCCTCCCGTGCCCACTGCCACCCGCCGCTGCACCAGCCAGTGCTGTGCATGTGCGGGCCATGCTGGCGATCCCGGTATTGCTCCCGTGGCGTGGGGGTTTAGGGGTGCCGAGCGTGGGGGTCTGGCTGGCTGGGCCAAACTGTGGGGCAGGGCACTGGACTGGCACTGCGCTTGAAGCGGAGGGGACGGAAGGCGTCCTGGCGGCACTGCTGCCAGAAAGTGCCGGTGTGGCCGGGGGGGCCGTGCTGCGTGGTGTCCTGGCACGGAATTGTGAGCTGCGGGGCTGGTCTGCTCAGAAATGTCTGTGCAGAGGGCAGGGGCTGTCCTTCCTGCCACCTCCGCCCCATTCCCGGCCGGCCATCCTTGGACCAAAGCCCATCCCCTCCCACTCAGGCTGTGGGGCTGGGACCCCCTGCGCGGGGCTGGACCCTGGTCCCATGGTGGGGGGACGCAGTGCCCTGAGTCAGGCTTGGCCGGGAACCAGTGGGGCATTTCTCATCATCTCAGCCTGGGTCACACAGGGATTTTTGTAGCGTTGTTTTTTACTCAGAAATGATTGTCACTGTTTTTTCTTCCTTCTTTTTTTTTTTTTTATATCTATATTAGTAAAGGCTGGAGACGTTTTGTACTGAACTGCTGCATCCGGTCCTTCGGGAGGAAGGGGTGGGAAGGGAATCCTGCGCAGGCAGTGCTGCCCGCCTGCCCTGGGACCTCCCCGCTCGCCCGGGGTGACTCAGTCGTTCCTGTCGTGTGGAGGCGGCTGCTGCCGGGGCAGCCTCCATTGGCCTGGCGGAGCGGGATTGCTCCGGCCGCGTTCCTGTGTGGTCCTGTCCCTGGTGAGGGGCTTCCCTGTGCCTCCCCATCCCGCTGCAGCAGGGAGCAGAAGAGATGCTGTCCTGCCCTGTACTCCCCTGCCCCGGGGCTGGATCAAACCCAGCCACATCGTGCCGATTTTGGCCAGCACACCCCAGTTCCTCCGGGACCCCGGGTCAGAGCTGGACACCTCTTGCAGCGCTTGCCCATCCCCTCCCTCCTCCAGCCAAAACCCCCGGGGAGCTTGCATCCCACTGCACAACCGTGTGCCACTTCTGTGGCTGCTTCTGGAGCTGCCTCTGCCTCTGAAGCTGGCGTTTCCAGGCTGTTTTAGTAAAAGGAACAGCTTTATTTCACTCATTCTGTTAAGCTTTCCAACAGGCTGTGCTGCCGGGAGAGGGCTCGCTTCCAGTGCCACATGTGCCATCAGCCTTGCCACCGTTGCGAGGTCCTGGCACGGACTTGCCCTGGCACATCCCGATCCCTGCTGCAGCAGCCTGGCCCTGCCTGAGAGCACAGGGAGGCTGTTGCACTCTGCAGCAGGAGTGGGACCCCAGTCTTTGGGGGGGGCAGGAATTGCTAGGAAGGAGCGGGTGGGGAGAAACGGGGGCTGAGCTGGTTGCAGGCAGCAGGCTGGCTTCGGCAGCCTCTGCAGCAGGCTGTGCCTGTCCCTGCCCCACCATGTCCCGGCTTGGTCCGGACTGGGACCGGCCCCAGGGCAGGTCTGGCAGCGTGACCATGCTCAGGGCAGCCCGAAACTCCAGCTTGTGCAGGGGAGGGTGGCACTGCCCCCCCCGCCCCGGGTCCCTCTGGTCCCTGTGGCATGGGGCCAGGGGTCCTCTGGGCGACCGACTCCTCCTGGGCAGGGTCACAGTCCGGGGCCGGGCTGCAGGATGCCCTAGACGCAGGTGCAGTCCTGGGCCAGGATGTTGGGCACCGTCTCATACTTGAAGGAGTACCCGCCGTCGGAGGTGGTGCGGACGCGCAGGGAGCGCATGGTGCCGGGCAGGGCAGCGCAGCAGAGCTGCACGCCCAGGCGGTGGCTCAGCCCGTGGCCCTCGGCGCAGCTCCCGTGGCAGTAGTGGAAAACGAAGCTGCTGGGATGCACGATCCACTTGTCCCAGCCCAGCTCCTCAAAGGAGATGTTGAGGGAAGCCCGGCGGCAGTTGGTATGGGCGGCCAGGTCCTCAGACGGGCGCTGCAGCAGGCTCAGGGCGGCCGGGGACCAGGGCATGGCGGAGCGACGAGCCCTCTCGCTGCCCTTGGCCCGGGTGGTGGCCACCAAGAAGGGCATCTTGTCCCCCTCGGCCAGGCAGGGGCAGCCAGGGCAGCGCACCAGGAGCACGAAGAGCGGCTGCGAGAGCTGGGGCAGCAGCCCCGGGGCGAAGTGAAACACCGTCCAGTGCTCGGGCGTCCGCACTGCCATGGCCGTCACCGGCACGCGGCCCTGCGGCGACAGGGTCAGCACGTCAGGGGCTGAGTGGTTGGGGGCGGCTGAGGGGCCGGTGTAAAACCAGAGCTGGGCAGAGGTCACCGTGCGGGTCAGGGTGTGCGCCGAGGGCTGGAAGAGGTAGGTGAAAATCCCTTCTTCCTCCAGCAGCTGGTCTGGCTGCGTGGGCTCACAAGGCACGTCTGCAGCGGAGGGGGAAAGATGCTCAGGGTGCGCGCCTAAACCCCGGGAGGGTCCCTGATGCCGGATGGGAGGCGGGATGTTGCAGAGGGTCACTGTGGTGCTGGCAGGGGGCCTGGCTGCTGGCACAGGCTGTGGCAGGGTGCAGGGGAGCTGATGTCTAATGCTATGCAGCAGCCACTGCACTGCACCCTGCAGCTGAGCCCTGCTGTGCCCTAGGCTGGTCCATTACTGCTGCCCCTGTTCCCCAGCGTCCTGCCCCACAGCTGGTCATCCTGCCCTGTCCCACAGCATCTTGTCCTGTCCCTTAGTATCCCATCCCATTTCCTAGCATCCCACCCTATCCACCCTGCCTGCTCCTCAGCCCTTGCCATCTGTCCGCATCCTGCCTGACCTAGCCATTCCCCGGCCTCTGAGCACACTCTTGTGCCGCCTGCCCTCCTCCCTGCCTGTGTCCTGGGCTGCTCTGCCTGTCCCCACCTGCCATACCTTTCACCTCCTGGGTCTCCACCAAACCTCACCCATGCCTGTGCCCCAGCCTGGCGTACCCTCTTTCTCTTCTGCAGACCACCACAGCAGCCCTTCTGTCCTGCTGCAGCCGTGTTGCCCTGAGCCCCCACCCTGCTTCACCCCTCTGCCCTCTCCATCCCACCAGGTTGTTCTCACCTGTGGAAGGGAAGAGGATCACCTGGGAGGTATCCTCCAGCTCCTCCGGCTCAACTTCAGTGTTTTCAAGGATGTCTCTCCGGTGCACTCTCTTTGCTTCCTTCTGGGGCTCCTCCTGGAGAATTGGGGGGCTCAGATGCTCCAGCACGCGAGCCCGCACCTTGGCCAGGATGAGCTGCCGGTCGACACCAGCCCCGGTGCAGCTGGCCAGGGCGGCGGTGGGCAGCATTGCAGGCAGCAGGTGCAGGAGGAGCAGCATGACCGTGGGGTGTGCGGTGGTCTGGCGGCTCAGGGGGCTCTGCCACGGGCTCCTGCCTGCCTGCTCAGCCCGTCTGCCCGCTGCGCTCCCCCCAGGACAGGGTGGCATTGAGACCTATCTGACACTGACGCAAACGTCTGCTCGCCGTGAATATTATCTCTGGGCAGCGAAAGCGCTGAGACGTCTGGAATGCAAGGACTGCAAGGACAGTGTGGTCTGGGGGGGGACGGCGCCTGGGCAAGGGGGTGTGGGGGGGGATGCTGCCGGGGGCGGCTGGGGGGTGGGGGTGGGGGGGG